GCAGTTAGATTTGTAGCTACATTTTCAGTTCTTCCAATTTTACCATTTGAAGTGCTGCTTCTGTCCACAAATTTAAAAAAAACACCTCTTTGAACTTGAAAAGCTGTTTTTGTCCATGTGCAATTTGTCTGAGTGGACCTGCAGCTGCTCTATTTAATTGGACTCAAAGCAGAGACTCTCTGAGACCACATTTTAAAGCCACTCTGATGAAATAGAAAATAGCTGACATGCAAGGCTACTGAACACTGGAAGTGCAGAATGAATTGTGTAGGAGTACAGCAGTACGTTATTTACATTGCCTGAGAATTATGATTATCAAAAGTGGGAGGCATCAGCAGCTGCAAGCAGAGGCATGAGTCTCTAACTGCCCTATAACTCCCCCAGACCTGGTCCTCCTTCATCTCCCCCCCTCCTCCTAACCAGCAAAGTCTGTCACAACTGTGGATTGTAATAGGATGTGAACTGTCTATGCAGGCAATTTTTACAGAAAGTCTTTTTTTTTTTGCTAAAGAACAGCATCTTCTACTTAAAAGGCATAAGATTAAAAATCAATTTACACAGTTGTGTATTCAACAGGTGAGACCACTATTCCCTTATGAAGACTGCATGTGGAAATGATACACAGCTTGAGTCCTTCTATGCCCTCCAAGCAGCTAGCAGACGATCAATCGCCTTTACAGAGAGAAGACAACCATAGCTGTGTCAGGTATCCATTTTAACTTCTGATCATCTAGCCCCAAGTGACTCTTTACAAGGAAATCTATGTTTTAGGTGGGTATCCTTGTTGGTCTGCAAAAGAAGATCAAGATTCAAGTACAGCAGCACCTTAAAGACCAACAAGATTTCCAGGTTATAAGCTTCTGAGAGTCAACGCTCCCTTCATCTGTACTTTGACTCCTGAAAACCTATACCCCATCATGGCCCCTGCCAACACCTTCCCTAGTGCCTGTTATGTGTTTTTACGAAATAGATGGGGCTTCTGCCTGGCAGGGCATCTGAACGGCCGCTGGAGATTTGATTGGCTGTGCAGATGTCTAAGAATGTTGCTTTGGCAGCTGCTGCCACCATAGCACAAGGAACTTCACTGTGTGACCTAAACTGCATCAGGCATTTAGTGGTAGCTCTGCCTCCGGTGGCAGCCATTTTGTGGCTGCTCCCAACATACTTTTGTTGTTGTTGTTCAGTCGCACAGTTGAGTCCGACTCTTCGCAACCCCATGAACCAGATCCCGCTAGGCCTTCCGGTCTTCCGCTGTCCTCTGAAGTTTGCTCAACTTCATGTTCGTTGCATCGATGACACTGTCTAACCATCTCATCCTCTGCCGTCCCCGTCTTCTTTGACCTTCAATCTTTCCCAGCATCAGGGTCTTCTCCAGTGAGTGCTCCCTTCTCATTTGGTGGCCAACGTATTTGAGCTTCAGTTTCATTATTTGGCCTTCCAGGGAACAGTCAGGGTTGATTTCTTTTAGGATTGACTGATTTGATCTCCTTGCAGTCCAAGGGACTCTCAAGAGTCGTCTCCAGCACCATAGTTCAAAAGAATCTATTCTTCGGCGCTTGGCCTTCCTTATAGTCCAACTCTCGCAGCCATACATGACTACTAGGAATACCATTGCTTTGACCACTGTGTTAGAATTCCAAAGGTGTCCACAGGCTCCAAAATGTTGGGGACTCCTCGCTTATACCCTGGAAATCTTGTTTGTCTTTAAGGTGCTGCTAGACTAAAATATTGGCTCTTTACAAGGGATGCGCTTTTTCTTCACATCCTCAACACAATCTACCTGGAAGCCCCATTGAATCATACAGAACTTATTTTCAAGAAAGAGTGCTTAGAATTGAATGGCGAGGAACTTGTATGTACCAAAATTAGTTTAAAGAGAGAATCAGAGGGGAGTAAGTTGTTATAATATACCACTCTATTTCACATTACATGTGGGGATTACCACTTTCCAATGTTCCTTAAAATAAAAGGTCCATAAATTGAAAACTACAACTTTAGAGTAGTGAAATGTTGTGCTTGTTTTCTTTTTGAAGACAACTGGTAGTAAAGAACAGCAATGAAAGAATCCACCCACCTACATTCTGACAGCAATGCAACGTTCTACTACCTCATTCTTCTGCATGTGTGGGACTCATACTAAATGACAGTCTTAGCAGTCTTCATCAAAGCAGCTTACAGAAATATTCTCTAAATATTGACTGAACATCTCTTCTCAGTTGAAACTTCTTGGATGATGAATACTCACTTATTTCCCAGAATAAAACAAATGGCAGTTCAATTATATCTGCAGATCATCTATGGCTAGAGCTATGCAAACTACATAGTCCTTGGACCTTATGTCATGTCTTCCTCTAATCTACTACTATCATTAAAAATGCCCAATTTTACTCCTACATAGAAGATACTTTCCTTGAATGCAAGCTAGGCAAAACAACCCACATTCTGTAATGAGGATGTATTTATGTAAATTAGCCATATTTACATAATCTTATTCCTGTGCCACCATGCTGTAAACAGCCATTTAGATATGCTAAAAGCCTTTACTTAGATGAGATTGAATGTGATGTTACTTACGTACCACACAGAAGTATTGCAAAATCCTTGAGAAAGCTTGTTACTAAACAGTTACTTTAGTGATGCACCTTGTTTACACCCTACATCATTGATTCATTAAATGTTATTTATTATTAAATTTAAAAATTATGAACATATACTTGGAGACTCTCACACAAACAGGGACCGAATAGAGGGAACGTGCATCTGGATACTTGCATACACACTGGAGCCCCCTCCCCCCCAAACTCAGGATCTTAAAATGAGGGGCATTTAATAGCCAGATCATGAGGCAGGGTTTTTGACTGCAGAATAGTATTTCCAGTGATACACCAGTTATTGATTGTGTGAGATAACAGGAAGAAAATAAACTTTTCTAATTAAAAAGTCAGAGTAGGGAATAGTGAATGAACACTGTTGTACTGGCAACCTCTCTCCTTAACTAGAGCTAAGCCCTTAATGAGATTGACATAGAAAAACATCATTTAAGCTTAAAAAACAGATTGCCTTTTGACTGGGAACACTATGTTGAATAAGGCCCCAGTGCACTGCCAGTTATGTCTTCATCCAAGGTCATATTTTAGGTTTTAGTGTCTGTCATCGACTAATCAGTGTTTACTCAAGTGGACAGTACAGCTATGATGGATCCCTGTATCTCCCCAACTGTCTAGCAGATTTAGCCCACCAAATCTTCAGTCCCCCTCAGTGTCTGAGTTGTCTTACAGTAGCATGTATAGGTTCTCTTTTCCCTTTTATATAAACTTGAAACTGTCCCACCCTTTGTTTTGATATTTGTGTAGGCTTTAGACCCAGTACAGGAACTTGAGGAAAAGACAGGAGCGGTCCTGTTTTATAAACCCCTGTGAAATGGCACTTAGAGCAAATTAACTTTCAAAAACAGAATAAAGATTTTACTAAACAGGCAGGGAATATATGTATATTAAGAACAGTCAAGGTTGCTGAGAAAAACATTTTCTAATATAGAGGGTTGAATTCTTAGAACATTCAAGAGAGTGTATTTGTAGTTTTGTTTCAAGGCTTTCTAGTTCTTTCTTTGAGAGGTACTTTGTTTAGTATATTTCACTATCACAGTTATTAATGTTTCTTCTTGAGGACAATATTTGCTTAAAGTTTCTAGATTTCTTCTTTCAGAGTTCCAGGTTTTCCTTTAGATATTACAGCTTTTTACTAACTCCAGAGGTGTCTAAGCTTCTCCCCTTTTTCACAGACCAGAGTTCTCTTCCTAACCCTTTTCACTGACAGGAAATTATTTTCCTTGTCCCTAAGAAGCAATAACTCCTTTTACTTTTTGGCTTGTATGGGAGTACACTCTAACTACCCAGACCTTCTGCCAAATCCTGCTCCAGTATCCTTTGTCTGTACAAGGCTGTTCTGTAGCTTTCCTAAGAATCTAAGTTCTCCCTCAGAGCAGATTTAATATATCTAATACAATGGTGTTTCTCTTCTTCTCTCTGTAGAAGTGCTTTTCTGACCATTGCCTGCCAGAAAACACTGACTCCCAAATGTCTCTTCCCTCAGAAGCCAAACCCTCTGGCTACTGATCCAGACATTAGTTTTCAGACCCAGACCAAATGGCAAAAGCCCTATTTTCCCTCCAGATGAGCTTTTTTATTTCCTCTCAGCTGATGTTGGCCAATCAGAGAGCGAGTAGAGCAGCCAATCACATAAGCTCTTCTCTCCAGGGAAGATTAACTCGTGAACTCCCTGACTTTCTGACACAAGGAGCATTTTAAAAAGCCTGCTTTTCTTTGCAATCTGTCAAACAGTATCTTTAAATATCTGATTAACAGTTGTATTGTATGTGGCAAAGGACAATGAAAGAAAGGTGTTGCTTTCATATCGTGCTTGTGGGGTTCCTGACCACTGTGGGGGAATAGGATGTTGGGACTACATGGGTGTTTAGTATGATCCAGAAGGGCTTCTCTTATATTCTTATAATACCTTTCATCAACCATGTATCAAATTCCCAGTACCACAAATCTCTATGAAAAATTTATACTACCTTGTTGATGCACACGGCAATTACAACCTTAGACAACTTAAACCAACAGCTACCCTATTAGAACAAAGATGTTGATATTCCCACTCCTCCTTTCCATATTATATCTGACAGCATATTGAGACTGTGCTGACTAGCTGGGTTGTGGTGTGAGGAAACACTTGCTTCAGAATGTTAAAAATATCCATAATCAGATTATTAGGATTTCAGTTGCAACAGTTTATAAAGCTTCACTTCTCCCCCCTTCCACCTTTTAGAAGGAAATTTACAGCACAGTCTAAGACACTTAACCTGGTTTATTTATACATTGCCTTGATGCATCATGAAGCAGCAACATGGAACCTTTCGTAAGCCAAGGGTCAAGTTGTTCCCAGAACAAGCTGGCCATATTTATTAGAACAGAAAACCCACCACTCATAATATTTAACTAAAGATCATTTATTTTATTTTCCACTACAACTTACTGTCTCCAAATGATAACATTGAAAAGCAAGTGTGATGAAGCAGATGTGAACAATCCTGTAGATTTGAACAAAATAAAACTGTTACTTAAGCAAGGAGGAAAAGTAAATGCCTGCAACAAATTCTTCCTTTTTTCCTTAAAAAATTCAAATTGAACAAGTCTCTTGCAATTCTACTAGACTCAGTCCTAGATATAGACAAACAGGAATGAACAGGAGAACTATAATACAAAACTTTCACTACAGCACACTGTACACACCTGTTGTCTAATGCCCCCCAAGCCCCTTCACTGTGGTATCATTATTTGCTTGCTTGCTGAGCTTGTCTGCGGAGGAGGACATAGATCTTCTCCTTTATCCAGTCTTTATTGTAGGGCTGGTATGTCTGAGTATCAGCACGATAACTAAGGAAGAAGCATGAAGAAGTCAATTAATATTGCTATTCAAAAGATTTTTCAAAACCAATAACCTTTAACATTGGCCTGGAAAGAGCAAACAAGTTTACAAAAACAGTGGCTTAAAACCCTCAAGTGGGCTGTTTGAGTGTTGTAGGCATCAGACTGCAAGAAACAGGTACTGGTTTCAATCTGGTTAGGGGTTTGCTGTTAATATAGCTATTCCTATACTAACTGTAATCCTCCTCATAGTTTACAACAGTACCTAACTACAAAGTTTTCTGAACTGGAGCAATATTTTTGAACAGGTTTCCTTCTTTCCTCAGTTAAAGCAGTTAATATTAAAAATTACAATAAAAATTAAAATGACAGACTACAAAATGCAGATTTAAAACAATCCTAATCCAATGACTATCAGAAACCAAATGCTTTATATTTCAAAGGGCCATCAGAACAGTCCTAGTCTATTATATATCAAAGCACAGGGTTTTTTTTTTTTTTAATTTTAAAGCATCTGTGGAAGACTAACAAAGCCTTACATAACTACTGTGGCAGACCATTCCACAGAACAGAAGCTGCTACTGAAAAGGCACAGGGTTGCATGCAGATTAATGTTTTCATTGGTGCAAGAACTTCGACCCGCAGGCTATTAATTTCCTGCCTCCTCTCCCCCATGGTAGCCTGAAATGCCCCCTGAAATCCTGTTTTAGGGGCCTCCTCTCCCTCAGGAACATGTTTTCAGGCGGGCATTTTTGGATGTCACAGGAGGGGGAAGCAGCACATGCAGAAATCCCTGCACCCACAGAAATGCTAGTTTTAATCCAAGTCACTGACTCTGGTTACTGCCAGAAACTGGAATACACAGGGGAAGTCAAAAGAATGAAGGCTCATTCTTTTTAAAATCTTTCGAAATTTAATTCTATACAAAGTGTTCATTTCCAGGTACATAATAACTGTAGCTGAAACAGAAACACCTTGCCAGTTCTTTCAAGTCAAATAAGTTTTAAGTTCAGTTTATCCTTTAACAGCTCTAGTAACCAAGTTTTAGCCAAAGATTAATCTGTATTACCTCTGCAAACTCAATTCAAGAAATGCAAGCTTATAACCAGTAACTTAGAAGTTTCCTAAACCTTTTAACCACAGCCATATCCAACAATTCTATACAATTATTTCTCAACAGCATACTACGGAAAGGGCAGTGATAAAATCACCATTTAGATTTTGACAGCCATAAAACATAGAATATTTTGCTTGAAGTATGCCCCCTGGTGGCCTGCTGTTTAAATTTAAAGTGAATTTGTATACACAGGTTTCACTGGCTTCTGAATCAGCATTCACATGCAGAAGTCCAATATTTAAAAGAAACAGAATCGAGATGTGTTAGTATGATTATGTGTTACAGGCACATTTAAAATTTGACGATGTATATATTCTACTGCTGTGATTGATTCACTATCATTTCTCAGTATTTTATTGATATCGGGGGGTTTCCAAAAGAAAAGGGTCAAACTGCTGCAGCCCTATTGACATCACAAGCATTGACATGCATATGGCTTTGAAAAATGTAACATATTTCAGAGACAGGTCTTGTGCTAATGTGATCCCAGCCAGGTAATGGCAACATGTAGTCGCTCCAGTCAATCAATCAATGTTTATTTACGATCCAAGACCATTGACCAAAGAAATATATATTAATTAAAGGTAAAGGTTCCCTTGCTCGAAAGCCAGTCGAATCCGACTCTAGGGTTGCGGTGCTCATCTCCGTTTCAAAGCCAAAGAGCCAGTGCTGTCCGAAGACGTTTCTGTGATCATGTGGCCGGCATGACTAAACACCAAGACGCACGGAACGCTGTTACCTTCCCACCAAAGTGGTACCTATTTATCTACTTGCAATTTCTTGCTTTCGAACTGCTAGGTTGGCAGGAATATATTCATTAGGTACAAACTAATTTGCTTTCAGCACAAAAGATACTAAGACATATAACCTTAAGTTTAAAAATTGATTGTATCAAAAAATTATAAAATATCTACAACTGAACTAATTATGAGTTGTGTGGAAGGTAGATAAGGGTTATGCTTGATCTGCTTTATTGTGGAATTAGTCGCTCCAGTCCTGCAACTCTTTCCATACAAAGACCACTACATGTGAAGCGATGATAGAGCACTATTTTAGGTTCACAATCACCCCCCAAAACATCAAGGTTTGGTTCTACAAAAATCCATTTAATTTACAAGAGTTTTATCTACAGTTTACTCTGCAGAAAATTAACAGTATTTGAAAGTATTAGATACAATTTTTAAATGGGCAAATGTGCTACATTCTAAGTATCTTTTGATAGTGTGCATCTAATGCAAAAACATGTCACCTAAAGCTTCCAACAGAACAGGTAAAGCTGGCTGAAAAAGAACAATAAAAGCTTCATCACATGTGTGCACACTTCAGTATATGCTCAACAGGGGCCAGTGCACATATCTTCAAAGAGAGCAGCTTTAAAAGTACTTACACAAGGCAGCTAAGATCAGCCAAATCATCAATGAAATCAAATAACTGGCTAATATCATATGTGATTGAAGGGCTGTTGGGGTTCATTCTCTTCAGGTGTTCTTCATACATTTTACAGACTCCTGAGGGGAAAAGAACAACTTTTAGCACTAACGTTAGAAATTCAAGGATACTTAGTTTGTTAGAGAACTCAGCAATTATGAATCTCAAGAAGGAAATTGGTACAGAAGCAAACTAAGGTTATGGGATCAGATGGTATGTTCAGCTTTGCAAAAGAGATAGTATGCTTAGCTTTTTAATATACACTTGCAAAATAAACCCATAAGAATGTCTTCATAATTCTGTATGAAAAGTACCTGAAAAAACTGAAATGGAGAATGTATCTTCAAGGTTTTTAGACTGATTTCACAGCAGACATTTACAGGAACAGCCTATATTCCTGCAGTCTAGCAGCTTCTCAGCTGCATATGTTCAACAGAACTGTACAGTGGGAAAAGAAATCTTAACCTGGTGAAAAGTCCAGGTCCTCATACATGCTTTACTATGGTGGCAGGGAGGCAGGAGAACGATGCCTGATAGCATGATACAGAGACAGAACAGGCTGTGCAGTCTGAAAGAGACCATATTAAAATAACAGTGGCATGGTCTGCATCATCAGCTTAGCCCTGCGCTGCGGGGGCAGGTGTGTAAGAGATTGAGGAGAAAGCCCTCAGTCCAATAAAAGCCTCAATGTCTCCACTGGTTCAATCTAAGAAAAGCCTTCAGGAAACATATTCAAGGGAAAAGCCAGTTTCCTGCAGTATCTCTACACATAGCAGCGGAACCTACCTTCCATGCATTCATTCACGGATTCATAATCAGCATAAGTTCTGCCCTCTGGCCGTTTGGTAGGTTGAACAAGCAAAATTGTGTGAGACTGTACAAGAAGAAAGACAATGTTGATTCAGGTTTTCAGAATACACACTAAGTTGTTTGCAAGCAATAATGAAGAAGAGTCATGATCAACACATATGGAAAATCAGTCTGTCATGCCCAAGTTTTCAGTTCCTACACATACAATATTCTTGGCGTTCTCAAACATTTCAAAGACTAGAATACAAAGATCAGCCTTTTCCTCAGAATGTCACAGTCTAAGATAAACATATCATGCCAAATCACTTCCAGAGAAGTTTATTCTTGAGCATATATGGAAGTTGTGGAAAACCAAATAATTAAACAAAAAAACCCCAAAGCCTCAAAATTTCAATAATTACTGATTTGTGACTTCACAAATAAAGTAAAGGAAATTCATTAGCTCACAAACAAATCTAATATTCACTAACTAAATGTATGGGAAGAGAAGGTACAAACTTTTAAAAGAAAAGGTTTCTATATGGGAACAAAACCTTTTAAAGCTTGTGGGTATACATCTGGATTCTAAGAGAAAATAAGGCAAGCCTGGGTCCTGATAGATACAAATCTGCTACAGAAAACTAAGTCATAAAGTAAGGTGATCAAGACGAAATACATTAAAAAGGTGCCAATACACAGTGGACTGAGAAAGCCACTAGAAAGTTGCAACTCTACTCTTTTATAGTGTAGTCCTGAACAGTTAAAGGTAAAGGTTTCCCTTGCTCAAAAGCCAGTCGAATCTGACTTTAGGGCATGGTGCTCATCTCTGTTTCCAAGCCGAAGAGCCAGCGTTGTCCAAAGACGTTTCCGTGGTCATGTGGCTGGCATGACTAGATGCTGAGGCACACGGAATGCTGTTACCTTCCCACCAAAGCGGTACCTATTTATCTACTTGCAATTTCTTGCTTTCGAACTGCTAGGCTGGCAGGAGCTGGGACCAGAGACAGGAGCTCACTCTGTCACGCAGCACTCAGGTCTTGAATTGACCTTCCGGTCTACAGTTCAGCATCTTAACCACTGAGCCACCGTAGCCCTTTCCTGAACAGTTACACCTTTCTAAATCCAACTCTCCTTAGGACTGCACCATTAATCTTCAAACTGTTGTTACTTCAGTCTGTGTTGCACAATGTCTAGTTTTCTTCACTATATTAAAAAAAAATAGTAATACAACCCCTTCCCTCCAAGTTTTAGCTGGAAAATAGCTAAATGTATAAGTAATTTCAACTATATAGTGTCCTGAAAATAAAGGAATTTGAGGGAATGTAGAAAGATGGTAGATGTTAAAATGTAACATACTTCTCAATCTAACATATGCATTTTTGGATTATGTGAAGCATTTTTGGATTATGTGAAGGATGTTGTCAGAAGAGATGATGAAATGAAAATAAATCTATATGCTAAAACGAAGATCAATCTAGTTTTATTCACTGACAACTGAACAAATAAAAAAGCTTCATATATTCAGAAATCAGTTCATTAAAACGTGAAATTGCAGATATGCAAAAATTTACAGAAGACATTGTTAATGCTAAGAAGTGAATCTGGAAAAGTGTAGCAAATAAACAAATAAAGAAAAATAAAGTCTTATTTGACTGCTCTTCTTTAGATAAAAATAAAATATCTGAAGTAAACAGTGACTCACGAAAGCTCATACCGTACCACAAATATTGTTAGAGTATAAAAATGCTACTAGACTTTTACTCTTTTCTACTGCTACAGACAGAATAACACAGCTACTCATCTTGAAAATCTTATTTAAATGCTAAGCTTCACTCTAAGGGCTGTTTCATGTATTACATTTTATATGCCCACTTTTAAAAAAGCACCCAGTTTTGGTACAGCCTTAAAAATAAACACTAAAAACAGTTGATCAAGTTTATTTTATTTAGAGCATTTATATTGTCTTTCTGCCCAATGTAGTCCCTCAAGGCAGCAAGTTAAAAACTTTAAAAACATATATATATACACACACACACACACACACCAGCAATTAAAAGTAACTAAGATAAGTCCTATGGCTTGAAAGTTTCATGCTCATCAGAAAGGCAAGATCAGTTGTGACTCTGCTAAGCATATACTTTTGATGGTAAATCCAGGTTCCTTCTGGAGAAAAAGCACTAGATGAAATTCAGAAAATCATTCATACCCTAGCTCTGCTCCTACACCTGACAGACCGTCAGGAAGATACATATAACACTGTAAATTTGCAACCTTACTGGAAAGGCAAACGCAAAGCAGGAGCTAAAGGCATTCCACACATAAAGAACACTGTTAAACAGCAAAGATTTAGGGGGTGGGTGGGCTGTAAAACATTTTGAATGTCAAAAAATCTCAAAAAAGAGCGTTTTCTTGCATTTATGACACATGGATAATTCCACAACGGTTGAACATAATTTCGGCCCTCATCAGTGAGGTGGCAAGCCCATCTTGGGGTGAACCCTTCCACACAAAACGATTGCTTGCGCAGAAAAAGCTAACCTCACATTGTATAGAAACGCAACCAGTCCTATGATCCTCAAGCTACAATCAGAAGCGCGCAAATCAAGCACGGGTTTATCATCCCAGAAAGAACTCAGCCTTTACCCACAAACTAAATTCCCGAAGTTCCTTTTGTATAACACACTTCGACGTGGTTCAGAAGGGGCCAGTCCCAAAGACTTCTCACATACTCCGACAATCAAAAACGAGAAGCGGGACGTGCTCCAGCCAATATTCCTCGAGTACCCATGAGGACCTTTCCGATGTTTGTGTGTGTGTGGGTCTATAAAGTCCTAAGATATTATCAGAGCTTTTAAAAACGGCTACTGTTTTATCAACCCACCCCCCATGCACTGTGTGTAGATTAGGCCCAAGCACGGGCCAAATTGAGCGAAGAACACCAAGGCACGACGAGAAACGCCTCGCCTTTCTCCTCCTCCCAGTCCAACCAATTCCCGCCACCTTTTCACTCCTTAGCCTCAAAAAACACGAAGACCCGAGGACTTTTCTTTTACTTACCATAGCAACTCGCTCTATCTCGTTCAGGCGCGAAGCACAAATTCGCAACGTCTCTCTGACCACAATGCACCGCGACGCCCCGGAAGCACTATACCTCGCAAACGCTCCAAACCCACAGCGTGTTGCAGGCTTCACTGAGATTCGGTTGTTCGTGCACTCGAACTCCGAAAGGCGGAACGTCACCAGCGCACTTCTCGCGATATTACTGCTCATCATTAGGTCGCTTTTTTTTTCCTGAGCGCATGGAACTGTGGAGAGACGGAAGTTAAGCGAGAACGAGGCCAAATACAAAGCGGCAATGGCCATCTTTATTAAGGGTTCCCTCGCTTCAGCGAGGTGAACGGCAGGGAAGAACATACATCTGTCCACCATCTTAAAATAGGGCAGGAAAGTACGAGCCGCCCCCGGGACGTTTTCTTTCAGTGCCAAGTGTCCCGGAAGTTGACGGAAAGGAAGAGAATGTGAGGAGGTGTTGCTACTTGGCCTTCATGGCAACGTCTACCGTGGTTGGGCAGCTGAGGGAGACTGGGGGGTGAGAGAGAGGGCAGGGCGGCTCTTTTCATTCCTTGATATCTCTTATTGGTCGAGGCTTGCAGTTCGCTGACGGAGGACCACTTTTCCTTTCAGTCCGTGCCGGAGGAGGAGGTGACGGCCCCCTGCGAAGCTCCCTCCCTCCTTCTCTTTGCCTGTCCCGCTAGCGGTCGAGAGAGAGCTCAGCGTTGGAGCCTTTTGGGTTGGCCCTGTGGAGGGAAGGCGAGACCAGATCCTGGGTGGCCTTAGGGACCCCCCCGTCGGAGGCCTTTCCGTTCGGGAGCCGGGCTCCGAGGGAGTGGAGGAAGCCAGGGAGAGCCCCTGCAGGAGGGAAGGGTCCCCCCCCCCCCGGGGGCTGTGGCCGGCTCCAGGCCACCTGGTAACTTTGGGGCGAGGGAGTGGAGGAAGCCCATGAGGGTTGTTCCTCCTTCGGGGGCCGCGCCGGCGATCTCAGGGGAGGATTAGCGGCCCGGTGTAACATCTGAGCAAGCAAGAGACACCGGCCATGGACGACTTCTTGTCTATCAGCCTGCTCTCGCTGGCTATGCTGGTAGGCTGCTACGTGGCGGGGATCATCCCATTAGCCGTTAATTTCTCGGAGGTAAGGAGGCGCCTGTCTAACGGCCTATCCGCTTCGGAAACAAGAACTGTAGAAACTTTGCCTCCTGGGGGCGGCGGCGGGGGGGACGGGTGGGACATTTTTTTTTGGAGGGTTGGTTTTTAAAAAACTCAGTGGTACTTAGGCTATGGCTTGCTGAGAGCCACATTTATTTTCATCCTAGCATGAAGCCTGCACCTCAGGGAGGCTCGACGCTTACCTATTCCTCTGGTGGCGGCGGGTTTCAAGGTGGAGAACCAACTGCAAGCCTGCCGCATTGGGAAACAGTGCTCAGAAGAGCCACAGTGGACTGTCAAAGAGCCAAATGTGACGAGTCCTGAGCCACTGAGTATCACTGACTTAGTCTCTCTGAAATTGCCAAATTCATATTATTTTTGGAGTGTTAAAGGTTAGCACTGTAGTTTTAAACCAGATAGTAGGGTCTATATTAAAGGGAAGCATGCAGAATTTATTTAAATTATTTGTTATCTGGCTCTCCACTTGAGACTACTTGCAACAAACTTGAAACAGTATAAAACAATATGGCTAGGCACTCAGCAATTTAAAATAACTGGACAGCACTGTGAACTTGAAGTCATAAGATAATCTAAAGCTAGAGTAAGGAAATTAAAAGCAATAGAAACATAGAAGATGAAAGTGTACAAAAGCAGAAATAAAAATCACATAAAAATGACTGCAGGTAAACAAAACCAAAGTTAAATTACAAAGCAACTAGAAAATGGACCCTCCCCTCAAAATACCAACAACAATAACTCAGCTAAAACCTGGACTGATAAGTTTTGTCTTTACCTGGCATTTAAAGGACAACAATGTAGGTGCCAGGTATATTTCCACTAGGAAAGCATTCCACATATGTGGTGCCTCTGATTGTTCAACACCTCACTTCTGTGGGTGGTTGCATAGAGAACAGGGCTTGAAAGAAACCACAAGTGCCTGTATTCAAAATGTGTGTGTGTGTATATATATATGTATGTATGTATATGTATATACATTTCATTGTATTTAAAATCTGTGGTGGTTTCAGGTGGATATTTTGTGAAGTAACCATGAAGTTACCCTGGATGAAATTTGAACAAAGCATTCTTGTTACATTTCTATTCCTGATGTCTATATATCAATTGGGAAGAGAACATGTGTAATTCTGTTTTACCTTAAAATTTAACCTTTGGATATTGTGTGCCATAATAAAATATTTTATTCAGAAAATATTTCAAAATCCTTCCAGGTTTGGGGGGGAATGGTATAAAAGTGCAAAAGCAGATTCTAAGCAGAGAAGATGAGGTAAAAATAGACAACTCTATATAAAAATGTTTGTATACTGAAGCATTTTCTCATATGTCTTGTTCCGTTAGCACTGAAACCTTCCTATGTGTAATATCCACAACTCAGGGCTACTTTAGGTCACTTCTAATCAAATTTTATTGGTTAAAATTGTCATGGTAATTTTAAAGTATAGTCAGCTGGCTAAGGGAGAACAACGTTTGTGTGAATTTTATTATCCACTTTAGATTGGGTCTCTATGGCATTGGTAGTTTCTGTTAACTGACTAGTTATACAGGTTGGTGCTGTTGCTGGAAGTACCTTTTTCAGTTATGTCTGGCTCAGAAACTACATCCCTTCCTTGACAGAACTAACTTGGCTATGTTCTTACCATGCTAGTCACCATGGATAAAAGCTGATCTTAAAAGAATTTTGAACTTATCTACAAAACTTCTTGGACTTGATAAACTACAGCAGTTAGCAGGCGATATGAAATTGTTATAGTTAAAAACTTACAGATACAGGGAATTATGACATAATTTTTGTTGCAACTTTAGGTTACCAGATTGCTAATAGAATTTTAAAATGTGCTCCAAACTACTGACAACATAGAAGTATTTTAAAATTGTGTTATGTTTTTTTTTTTTTTTAAGATACGATATGTTCAAAACAGGTAAGTGCTAAACTTGGAAACAGTAAAGGAGGATTGACAGTGTGCTCAAATGTTTTGAGTACCTTAATGTGTTAACATAAACGAGAATTTTTAAAATTTCTCAGTATTTGGTATATAGCTCCAAGTACAATAAGATATATTATTCATGCCTGGGATCAGGGGTCATTTCCTGCAGGAGTGCACAGGAGCGGAGCTCCGGCAGTAAAGAGCCCAGGGGGCGGGCACATGCAACAAGCCCAACCCCCTGCTCCCAGCAGCCCTCAGTCAGAGCAAGAAGCAACCAGGTAAACTGCAGAGCTCCCGGCCCCCCGGTCCAAAACAGTCCAGTGGTACCTTTAAGACCAAGTTTTATTCAGGTACAAGCTCTCCCTCCTCTGTGAGGACAGATCTGCACGTCCCGTCCCCCCCCAATAGCTAGCAATCCAAAACAATCCAGTGGCGCCTGAGCGGTGGGTGTTGCCTTCTGACACACTTCCAGTGATGTCAGGGGGTGTGATATATGCAAATAAATTATTCTAATGAGCTCCTGCACCTCTTTTTCTACGAAATGACCCCTGCCTGGGATTATATTAGGACGGATGTTCTGACATAGGTACATATTCATGTCTGGTGGACCTCTCCCAAAACACAAAATTTTTGGAAGGTGATTTATGTTAACATTAAGAAGATTATAGGCTATGAGCTACGCTTTGTTATAATAACTATGCTTTGAATACATTGTGATGGAGATGTGGCCTACTGTTATGGAAAGGTAATAGCAGCTGCTTGTCTTGTAATCACACAGCAATAGAAAAACCCAGACACCTCCATCTGAGCATGACTGCATTCAGAAAGTTTAGGATCCGACAATTATTAACAAACTTTCAAAATTCAGCATGGGAGACAAAAATAGGAAGTGGTGGCCTGTAATTTCTTTTTTGAGAGAAAAAACCCCTCTGAAGTGGGGAAAACCAAGACATTATGCTTATACTGATGTTATATTAATTTTATTAGTTTATTAGTGATGTGAAGAAGCAACAATAGGGAGAGGAATGTATATTTATAGTAGTTATATTTTTCTTTATTGTTTAATGAAATTAAAACATTTTTTTAAAAAACCAAAACTTTATAACTTTGGACCCAGGTACTTGAAGGACTATTTCTCCCATATGAGCTTGGACAGGCCTTATGTCCTAGTTAGAACCCGCTATTTATTCCTTCTCTGAATGAGGACAGGACAGTTTCAACCAAATCAACAATATTTTCTGTGGCAGCCCTGTGACTATGGAAAGGGCAGTCCAGTGAAGGGAAGGTGGTACTGCCTTTTTAACATTAAGGTATACAAGTGGGGGTATGTGCAAATACTTGGGGGTGGCATCTCATTTCCCCCTGCATCCCACTCCTCCACTATTTCCTCTTCCCTTCCCTCACAGCCCCTATAGCCTCTCCCCCTGCTGCTTCATTCTCGCCTTCCTATCTACCAGCCAACCTGCCTTTATCTGCTCTACTCCGGGTCTTCATCTTTCCCGCCTTCCCTACTCCTGAGGCCATCAAGCCAAGTCTGACTGGGCTGTGTGGTGGCCAGGCCCAGTTGTGTGGTGGGTTTCAACAGGGAGGGCTGAATTGTGTGGTGATTGCTGCTGCCAAACCTGGCTGAGTTGTGTGGGTAGAGTCTCTAGTGGTTGCTGCCAAACCTGCAGTTCTTTCCTCAGGGGACATGACCTGGGGGGACGGGGACCTTTTCCAGGGCAGTTTTGGTCTCCCAGTCTACTCCTGGCTTTGCTTTACAGAAACCAAGGCTTGGCAATATTGTTATAGTTTCCTAGCAATCCCGAACAACTACTGAGAGTTCAGTGAGCATTCCTTTCTTAAAGCTACACAGACTGTTGTTTGTCTTATTTTGGGGGGGGGGAGGTTAATCCCCTATTTTTGTATTAGATTTCAGATTTTTCTACAGTCCTATAGAGAAATCTCCCTGGTCTGTCCCTAGCTCCATTTTGCAGCTCCATCATATCCTCTAGAGCACAGTTCAGAAATAGATCTATTGATGTGTAAGGCAGTGCTTTTTAGAAGGGCCTTTAGTTAAGCATGGTTTTATTGGGCCGTCTGGAGTTATTAGATGCATAGATATTGGGATTTAATTTCATACTGTATATTGGGATTGTTTTATGTAACAACTTTGAGTTTTAGAAAAAATAGTATATAACTTTATTAAGTGAAAGTATTAAAAACAATAAGAAATTTGATCATAGTGCTCTATAACCTGCTATAAACAATGCAATAAAATCTGCTTTTAGAGCAGATGGATAGAGCTTGTTTCAATATTCATAATTGTATAGGTTTTTATAATTTTATTATATTTGTTTTTTACTTTGTGAGTCATCTCAGGCTGGACAGGTGGCATATAACCTCTTCCTTTTAGAAGTTCTGTAATGTTACAGACTTCAGTAGTCCTCTTGCTCAGTGCACATCTCTTGACAGCATTTTGGCTTACACCTGTGAGCTAGATAAGTGCTTGCATGGAAATAATTGTTATCTGTATGTGACTGGATAATTAAAAGACGTTTCGTAATATTCCATCTATCTGTTTAGTTTTTAAAAAAATCCTTGGGCTGGTTTTTCTTTTCCCAGAACTTGTTTTTTAAAAAGAAATGGGTGTATGTACAGTGAGAAATGTTTGTATCTTGGATTTTAGTGCCTGTGATAAGTCCATTAGGAACCCACAATTTTTTAAAAAATCACACGATTTATTGTTTTCTAATGCATAATGTCAGATATTTCTCCCCATGGTTGTCTGTTACATAGAAAATCAGGATTCTGCTCAGTTTGTTTCATGAATGGTAATAGTTCCATTTTATAAGAGTCAACTAATCTTTAAACTCCGATTGCATTTTCATCCAGGTAATTTTGCAAAAGGTGGATTGTTGTATCATGGCCCCAGGGATGCCAGGCTCGCTGCGACCAGAGCTACGGCCTTTTCAGTGGCGGCTCCTTACTGGTGGAATGAGCTCCTGGAGGAGATCTTATGCAGTTCCACAGGGCCTGTAAGATGGAGCTCTTCCACCAGGCTTTCAACTAGGAGCTGGCCACTAATACCACCAAGGGCCACTATTACTATCTGTGGCATAGGCTGGGCGGCAGTGTGATTGCGCCGCTGCTGAGTGGGATGTTTTGGTCCTGTATGGCACGCCATCTTGCCTGAAACATACTATGAGCACTTTAACTGTATATTGTAATTGATTTATTGTTTAATTGGTTTTATTGTAATTGATTGATCGTTAAATTGGTTTTAAATGTTTATATGAATCTTGGCCAGAGGGCCAAGTAATGTGAGCCGCCCTGAGCCTGCTTGTGGGGAGGGCAGACTAGAAATACTATAAATAAATAAATGTGTACCTTTGGCTTCTTACAGAGACTCAGTGACCTTTGCCCACAGATGTTTTGTGGACAGAGGAGGTTACAATGTTGTAGTAGGATTTGTGAGGTCCATGATCAGATCACCATACTGCCAAGAAACTTTTTGGGTTGACAGATAGGGTGTAAAAGTGTTAAGAGAATGTGCTAAGGAGAAATTATAATTGTTTCAATTTCTTTTATTTCAACATATGTAAATTAATGTCTGATGTTGCTGCTATAAGTAATCATAGTTGACTAGGTAACTGCAGGTAGTTGAATATTAATGTTGTAAAATGCCTAGTTTTGTGGACATTCAAAACTTCTCATTCGACAAAGGTTACTCAATGAAATACCATGCCAAACCTTATTATGTCAAGTATTTTAAGAGTATCCTACATTGGGTCTTTTTTACTTCGGTTGTTTGGGTCAAGAGTTCTTCTGTTGTGGGTGCTATTGGCTTCTTTCAGATATTTCAGTGAACAATATGTTCATCCTAAAATTTGTTCTTGGACAAATTTTGGTGCTATAAAACTTTAATTATTCTATGTTTACTTGCAGGAAAGGTTAAAGCTGGTCACAGTCCTTGGTGCTGGCCTCCTTTGTGGAACTGCCTTGGCTGTCATTGTGCCTGAAGGAGTACACGCACTTTATGAAGATATTTTGGAGGGTGAGAGAATAACAATGACTGTTCTGGTGCAAAGTGTTCTGAATAATTAAAGTTGACCTTTTGCTGAAGCAGCAAACTTTAGCTACCATAGGAGTTCTTTTATACTTTAGCTTTTTTGTAATCATTTCATATTCTGTTTTTAGATCACAAAGTACTTTGAATTTCAACAGTTGTAGGATAACTATACAGTTTCTATTTTTGCTTTTAAATACTTTAAAGATCACAACCAGAATCTAAAGAACCATGAAAAGAGTGCTGTGAAGTGTTTTGCTTGAACAGCAAATCCCTATGTTGCATAGCAGAATTTCAGAGAGTTTCAGAAACAGTTTGTGATACAAAGGTTCAAAGATAAAAAGTGTATATACCACTTCTTTTATTTGCTTGTTAATTTTTTATCCTTTCCTCTGAGAATTTCAGAGTGGTAGATGTGGTTCTCCCATCATCCGCAATGTATCATCACAGCAGCCTTGTGAGTTTGGTTAGTATGTGACTGACCCATGGTCACCATTGCACTTCATGGCAGAGTAGGGATTCGAAACCTTTCCATTCAAGTCGGGCAGCCTGCCTGCTGTACCAGCCTGGTTTTAACTATGAGCTATTAACTCTTTAAAAGGAGCTGCGGTGGCTCAAGTGGTTAAGACGCTGAACTGCAGGCTGTGGAAGGTCAGTAGTTCAGCAGTTCAAGACCCGGGTGCCGCAAGTCGGGGTGAGCTCCTGTCTCTAGTTCCAGCTCCTGCCAACCTAGCAGTTCGAAAGCAAGAAATTGCAAGTAGATAAATAGGTACCACTTCGGTGGGAAGGTAACAGCGTTCCGTGCACCTTGGTGTTTAGTCATGCCGGCCACATGACCACGGAAACGTCTTCGGACAGCGCTGGCTCTTCGGCTTTGAAACGGAGATGAGCACCGCAACCCTAGAGTCGGATTCGACTGGCTTTCGAGCAAGGGAACCTTTACCTTTACCTTTATTAGCTCTTTAGAGGCTTCTCTGTAACTTCACATGCAGAGAATTGTGGATGATGTTGGAATTTTATGGAGCCACCTGTGCTGAGCTGAGTGCCTTTTGCAATTCTCTAATTGTTAACCCCTTAACCAAGAAATGGTATTAAATGGATCTGAAGAAATGAGGGGAAATAGATGAAACTCTGTTTTCAGCCTTTTGAAATTCTGTACTTTGTGTATTCTTCAGCCTTAAAGAGGTCAGTTACCTTGTGGTCAGTTTGCTGTTCAAGCAAAACACTTTTTTAAAAAGTGTAACATATAACCTGATGGAAGAGGTCATTTTTACTTCCAATTGCATTGAAAATGAAGCTGAAATTAGCATATAGGATGTAATTGACAAAATTAATTTCCCCCCCCACTGATGTCTGGGATGTAGTTCTATTCCTTTTGCTGTCCAAAGACGATATTTAGTAAACCTCCATGTATATTTCCCTGAGATGCAAGATAGAATGATAAATACAAGTGTGATAAATAATGCATTTTGCAGAACTTGAGAGAAGGCCCATGAGGAGTTTACGAATCTGTATACTTATAAATGTGGAGCTATGTTTAACTGAACTCTTCATATTCGTTTAACAACTTGTATTATCAAGCTGTTTGTACATCTGGAATGAGTGTACACTTTGCCCAGTGTTTAAAATTGCCAAGATTCAATGGTTTTGTGGATGTATTTTATGTACATGTTACTACTGTGCCAGTATTTTCAGGATGAGGAAAGTGAAGGTTTGTAAGCCTTTAAATAATGTAACTTGAATTGAAAATCTTGCCACAAAGCTTCTGTGCATTTGCTAAAGAGATCTGAGGTGAAGACTCTGTTTCTGATGTCAAGTAGCTAGGTTCAGCTGAACAAGTTGCTGATACGGTATGTCAAGAGAATGGGTATATAAGAGGAGGGCAATCAGCAGTTAGGCTATGTAGATCATGACAGGTCAAGTACTTTAAAAGCATCCCTTGAGCAGAGAAAGTAATACAAATGAATCTAACAATTTGGGTTTAAGAAACTTGATCTAATACCTTTTTTGTTCTGCTCCTCAGCGTGCCCTCTCTCCAGCTCTATCTCCTTCTTTTCTCTTCTGCTGCTACTCTCCTTTTCCTTCCCCCTTTCTTCAACTGGAAAAGATTAGAAAAAGAAGTATCTGGGCTGCAAAGTACACCACCTAGCTGTCTACTTCTTTAGAGGCTGCTTGTAGACAGCTAGGATATCACCCCAATACTCTTCTCCAATTCGAAGCAGTGTTGAACTAGGAGGGCACTATTGGGTGCCACCATCATAGAGAAGGAAGGGGCAGTTTATTGTCATATATTTAGTTCTGCATGCAACATCTACCTTACCTTGCTTAATTCTTGGTTGCAAAGTGGGACTTCTCTGAAAACTAGAAAACATTTAGTAAAGTTCTAAATTTGTCTTGGAGTATCCATACCATATCCCCCCCCCCCCATGTTTTTGGTTAACTGGAGACATTGTTTAAACTAGTCTGCCTTCAGTGACTACTGTTAAAGACTACAGCACAAGTACAGTCTGGTGCAGATTGTTATACGTGGGGAAAGCTTTTTGCTTTCTTAAGACTTTAATTCTCATGGTTGATAGGTAAAACTCTTAAGTGTCTGTTTGTTTGGGGGAGGGCAGGGTAGGGGGAATAGAGACATGTTCTTCAGTGAAGCTGCTTCTATAGCTAGCCAGTTGTGAGGTGACTAAGCTAAGCAAACATCACAATGGGTGTATGAACAATAAGTAGCCAGTGATAGAAAGGCATTTCTATTGAAATGAGGTGTGCTTCATCAGGCTTCTCAATGATACTGAATACCACTTACTCTCCCTGTGATACTTGTTCGCTGTCTAGGAATTCTGAATTGACATAATCTGCAGATTCCCTGGTTAGAGGGTGGTTTTGGTGCGTGTGTTGCAAACCTCAGACCATCTGTGTGAAGATTTGACAGCGCCATCCTAAACCACACTGTTTGACTTCAGTGGATTTAGAGTGTACCTCTGTACAGGACTTTGTTGTTACCTTGCTGTTTGTTTGCTTCTAACAGTTTTGGTGATAAAGATTTGTTACTAAAAATTAAATATTGTGAATTACCATTTTGCAAGACTGAAAGATTTTAAAAGTTAAAGACTGACAATGTACTTTTTCTACTTGCTGCTTCTTACTGTAATGATGCTGGCAACTAAACGAGTAAATTTCATTGCCATGGTAAATTGGCATGCTCGTATGTCTTTGTTCAAATTAGCTCAGGAGGATAGATTTAAAATTAACTTGGTGAAAACTGTTAGGTGTTGTAACTCCTGAGGTTCCTGTAGTTGTAATTCCAAATTGTCCTATATCCTTTAGCAAAGCATCATCCAGTCAGTGAGACTCAAAAGGTGGCTGAATCTGAGAAAGCAGCAGAAATGCCGGTGGTGTATGACCATGACCACGACCATTCAAGGTTACATGCTTACATTGGAGTTTCCCTCGTCCTTGGCTTTGTCTTCATGCTTCTGGTGGATCAGATTGGCAGCTCTCATGTACACACGACAGATGGTAAATCAAGCTTTCTTGACAGGCAACCATAGTGAATGATAAGTCTTGAAATAGTCAAATAGCTGACTGCACATTCTGGTGTTCACTTTTAAAGAAAGAGTAAGCAATTTGTTCAATACCCAGTAGCAAAATGAAAATGGTTCTTTATTTGGGGGGGGGTCACTGTTAATATGCATATGTTACACAATATATGTGAACAGAGTGAGTACTAAGATTTGCTTGAGTTGAACTTGGGGGTTCTGAAGTGACCCTGGAAAGAAGTGTTGGCAGGGAGATGGGTGGCATTCTGAAGGAAAATTCATTCATTCTGTGAACTTGAATCTTAAGGCTTTGCAGCGGGATGTTTGTTTCAAAAGTGCATGTTGCAAGTGAAAAATCAGTTGAAGGGGCACATTGAATGCATTTTAAACAAGGATTTTGCTTCAGAAGGTTATTTTGTGTGTATTTCCCTTGTATGCTAAAAACCATGTTTGTAGTTGGGTGTGTGTGTTGTAGAACAAGTAAAATATTCTGGATGAACAAACTACTGTGACAATATAACATACCAGTGTTTTTAGATAACTCGTTAAAGCTTAGTGATCTACAAAGATGCTATAAGTGGAATTGGCTAAAATTCCGCATATTATAAAATAGAAGGGGAGAAAGCAGTCAAAAAACTAATGTGCCTTGAAAGAAAATGTGGAATAATCTACATCACACTCCAAAATATTAAAATGCTACTGGTGAATGGAAGGTCTGACCCAAGACTTAAGGTGTCGCCCATTCTGGACAGAGTTGCAGTTCCGTGAAGGAAAAGGTCCATAGTTCAGGGATTCTCTTGGACTCAGGCCTACTGTTGGATAATCAGGTGGTAACATTGGCCTTTTATCAGCTTCAACTGGTTAGACATCTGTGGCCTTTCCTGGGCAAAAAGTTCTGGCCAATGTGGTGCATGGCTTGGTTATATATAGATTAGATTACTGCAATGTGCTCCACGTCGGGCTACCCTTGAAAAGTGTTCTGAAACTTCAATTGGTGCAGATTCTTGGTCCATCTGCACTGCTCCAAATTATTTCCAGGCAGAATTGAAGGGTGCTTGGTGTTGACCTTTAAAGTCTATATGGCTTGGGGAAAGCATACCAGAAGGATCACCTACTCCCTTACGAACCTAAACAACTGCTCCATTCCTCTTCTGCAGCCCTGCTCTGGTGCCGCTGCCTTCTAAGATTAGGCAGGTAGCAACCAGGAATTCTTGGTCATGGCACCACAACTCTGGAACTCTCTCCCCAGAGAGATTGGCCTGCCCCTTCTGTTGCCATCTTCTGCTAGCACATGAAAACTTTTTTGTTCTGTCTGGCATTTCCTCAGTGATCCTTTAGTTTTTGTAAGTTTATTGGTTTTAATTGTTTTAATATTTTTAATGTGTGTTTTTATTATGTTTTAATGTGTTAGCTGCCTTGGTGGCCCTGATGAGGGCAGAAAGGCCAGGTATAAATATTGTAAATTGACTTTATTTGGGTTCAGCTATACCAGTAGCCTATCAGATTCTCTGATCTGTATTTGGCTTAATACCAGAAAAATACTGGTAAGGTATTTTGGGGGTATTTTTTCGGCTCTGTTTATGCTGAATGCATACCCCTAGAAATTACCTGTTCTGTCCCTGGCATCTCCTCTTAAAGGATCTCAGCCAGTGTTTGTTTAGTGAGAGGCAGTGGGAGAATGCCACAGAAACAAAAGTCTTCACCTGGTAGTGGAAGAAAATGATAGAAGGGGCCTGTTGAGGGAAGTGGAATTCCATAGATTTGGTGTCATGTTGGGAAAAGGGTCCTCCTGAGATGCTGGAGAGCTGCTACCAGTTAAGGTAGACAATACTGAGCTAGATAAATCAATGGTATAAGACGGCTTCATTTATTTGAGCTGTAGCTTATGTTTATTTCAAAGTTCTGCTTCAACTCCTGTAATATTTCTCTTCTAGGGAATTCTCCATATATGTTTATATCTTATTTGGTTAAGATTTCTTAATTATTTCAGACCCAGAAGCAGCAAGATCGAGCAATTCCAAAATCACCACTACACTGGGATTAGTTGTTCATGCTGCAGGTAAGTTATTCTTTTTTTGCCTTTTTTTCTTGAAAGGCTGGAATATCCTGGGTCTGCCCATGGATTACATTAAACTTGTTTTGAATGACATGTCATGTTGCCAGTAGTCAGCACTACTTGTAGGTGGAAGGTCTTCTGTATCATGCTTACTATACTTTTTGCATTGGATAAGAGAAAAAAAGGGAGAACCTCAGGGATATATATGTAAAAGGGTACATATGGTGCTTGGGAATGCCTAGTTGCTTATGGGAAGTCCTCAATAGGCAAGTACCACTGCATCAACAACTGCGTCATAGGAGCTTTCTGTGAGCTAAATGAATGGGGAGACCCTTGCTGTTAGGGGAGCTGTTACTGAAGTTCCTCCATTTTTTCATCAGGTTTGTGCACTGTGAGGATGGAGATATATGTAGAAATCTGTTTAATTGAAAAATTAAATTTAACTTCACTAGTTGCTTTTTCATGGGGGGGAAACCTTAATCTTTAGAAGCTCTTAGAAGGATTACAGTTCAATTCTATGTAGAGCCTTCATTGTGACAGTAACTTAGATTTGCTACCTATTTGTTTGTCTGATTTGAGCTTTCTAATATGGGAAAGCTTCTGACAGCTAATAAAAAGAAACTAAGGACATTCATTCTTAGGGACAAATATGGTATACTTAATGACAGTGGTGTTTTTGTTGGCATAAGGAGCAGACATAATTGTTTTGTGTGCTGATGCATAAGTTAATTTGCTCTTAATTAGATTTATTTATGGTTTTGAGCAAGAGAAGGCAAATTAAGGTGTGTAATGATTTATAGTGGCTGTGCTATAAGACTTGATCCATGTATAACTTAATTCCAGAAAGCCGTTGATATTGACTCTTGTATTTGTTTCTTCCCTCCCCACCATCCCCCTATTAAGCGGATGGTGTTGCCTTAGGTGCAGCTGCCTCTACATCTCAGACCAGTGTCCAGCTAATAGTGTTTGTTGCAATTATGTTGCATAAGGTAAGTCCTATATATGAACCTTTATTTGCTTCTAACACATGTGGATGGTATTCACTGGTGAGTCATTTGTATGAGTTATTAGGCAGAAATTAGCACAGGTATAAACTAAGGTTTAAAAACTGTGTTATCTCAAAATTTGTGGTGGGATATGAGCTTTTGTGACTATCTGAAGAAGCCGGTATCTGAAGAAGTGAGCAGTGACTCACAAAAGCTCATACCCTGCCACAAATTTTGTTAGTCTTTAAGGTGCTACTGGACTCTTGCTCTTTTCTACTGCTACAGACAGACTAACACGGCTACCTATCTTGGTCTATTTTGTGTTATCTCAAGAAGACTTTTGAGCATTTTTTCCAAGCAGTTCTTTTTTTCTATTATATTCAGGGTACAGTGCCTAATAATAAACTAGCTGGCTCCTGTGTAAATGACAAGAGCCTCACAATGAGATCACCTGCAGGCCAGGTACAGGATCTCTAAGACTCCGTGCTTATGCAGGAAAACATAAATTAACTAAAATAAGCATAAAAAACTAAAAGGTGAAAAAAATCTGCAAATATTTTGGCATTTCTGCTGCAGAACAGAAACAATGGTAGGAACAGCTAAGTGTCCTGTAAATCAGGGGAGGGGCAACCTGCTCAGGCACCTCAGAGGTTAGGAAATGTTGGGGAGGGATATGGGGGTGGGGGTGAGGTTTCCAGATGATTTTTAAAAGTCAGATTGTAGCTGTCATGTTTAGGAGATGAAATATTTTCATATACAGAATGGGATGAAACATCATGAATTCACAGTTATGATATGTGAAATCAACTGTAGCTAACCAAGGAAGATTTCTGTCATAATGAAAATCTCAACTCACTTGCTCTGTGGAAAAGGCAAATGGACATTTGTTTGTATTATTTAAAATAACAACATAATATATTTCCGAATTATGAGCAAAGGGGCTGAAAATAAAACTTGTACTACCATTATATATATTTGTTCTGTGGCCACACTTTGTAATACCTTGTGTAGTTTTTGTCACCTCATATAAAAAAGATTGTAAAACTGGAAAAGAAATGGTCTGAAAGTTGGAGTACCTTTCATACAAGGAAAGTTTGACTTACTCTTTAGCAAGCTGTGTGTTTTTTGTAACTAAGGAAGAATATGAAGAGTATGGCTCCATGGCAATTCAGCAAATCCTTGGGTTTTGGTGTACTAGTAAAAGCCGAATTTGTTGAATTGTAATAAGGAAATGCTGCAGTGTTGACCCATCTTATGATCAAAACCAGCAGAGATGCAAAGAAAACTGTATAGGCTGCAATGACAGGCTAGTGGCCCTGTAGAACCTGGATGAATGTATGCATGGACAGCAATGGATTGGATTCTATGAACTGCAAGTACAACATGCTTCAGAAAGCAGATCTTTCCCTGCCTGTACCTTCTCTCCATAGCCCGCAATAGCTGATTCTAGGGTGGTATAAAGGGTTGATGGAGCCTTGCAGAAAAAATGGTAAGGAGGACTATACCTCCTCCACCTTGCATGAATAGAAGACTTACTCTGCTGCATTTTCTATATCAGCAGAAGAGAGAGATGGCTTCATTTTGTCTTATTCCCCTTTCTTCCTGCACTCTTCTCCATTACCTTTTGCTTTTTGGAGTTCTTAATGGGCTGCTTGGGAAGGCAGAGACCGATTTGCTTCTGTGAGTCCATAGGATCCAACCTCGTAGGATTACAACTTGTTCAGTATTCATACATAATTTTAAGTCGCCAAGATCTTTATGTTCTTTTTCTCCTGTAGGCGCCAGCTGCCTTTGGCCTAGTCTCTTTTCTTATGCATGCTGGTCTTGAACGGAATCGAATCAGGAAGCACTTGCTAGTTTTTGCACTAGCAGCACCTGTTTTGTCAATGGTGACTTACTTGGGGCTAAGCAAGGTAAAATTTTGGAGAGAACTGCCTAAAATGATAATAGCTGGAAAGTCTGACAGATGTTTATGAGTGCTCAACAAGTGCTTACTTTTATCTCTTTACCAGCCAGTTTTATGTACATACTGGGAAATATATATTATATCTAATTAGGTACAGCTCAGTCATGTATTTTATGTATGGAGTCTGAATTGCCAAAAATTGTGCTATGACTGACTTAATAGGTTACTGAATGTTATGTAAGTTTTCTCAGGTGTGACAGTTGGTTGTTCCTTATGTGAATGGTGTCGGAATGGGAATAAATTATTCTATGATGACAAATTTCAGAGTAGTAGAGGTGTGTGTGATTTAAAGTGAAACAGTCTGTTTCAGTCATCTTAAAGGCTTACCAACGTATTGTAGCATAAGCTTACATGAGGCAGAGCCCTGACTGAGTAGACTGTGGTTCACAAAGTCCACAAGACTTAGCTTACCAAATAGCCATTTAAACAAACTGCATGTGCAGTAAAGGTTAAGATATTGAAGGGGCAGTCAAGAAGATCAACTTTGTTAGAATTGTTTTGTTTTTCAGTGGCAGAAGTCCTTTCAGAGCAGGAAGTATCATTTTTGTCTCAGAATAAGTAATAACCATTATTGAAGGGACCAGTTTTGTTGATTCATTCCTCTCCTTGCCTTCTTGTTTTGCAGAGCAGTAAACAAGCTCTCTCAGAAGTCAACGCCACTGGAGTTGCCATGCTTTTTTCTGCAGGGACTTTTCTGTATGTTGCTACAGTTCATGTCCTCCCTGAGGTTGGTGGCATGGGACATAGCCACAAAGCTGAAGCTGCAGGAGGAAAAGGACTCAGCCGCCTGGAGGTGGCAGCTCTAGTCCTGGGCTGCCTGATACCTCTGATTTTGTCCATTGGACACCAGCATTAAAGACCTGAAGACCAGCAACCTACTCCTCACTCTGACATGAGCAGCAAGTGTTGGCTGCCCTTTTATCATTGTCTCTCTTACCTTGTTAACCGCCCCATCTTAAGGAGTCAGAGAGAAGCGTGGCTGCAGAAGGAGGAATTCTGGGAGAGCTTTTAGTGTAGCAAGACAGTACTTTGGACAGCTGGATATTAATTCTGCTTAACTTTCTGAAGATACTTTAATTATGACTTCCTGCCCTATTCTCAGGGAAGGTGAAATTAAGATTTTATGGCAGATGATTTGGGAAGAACTTTGTGGTTCATAATGAAATCATAATCACCAAAGTATTCTGTGTGTCAGCATTCACAGCTGACCTGCTGACATTGGATGCTGCCTTCAAATACATGGACTCCTTTTAACTGCCTCAAAATTGTATGTGTTATACTGATAGCGCAGGCTATCTTGGGAAGATAAATCTGACACAAATTTTGGATTTACAAACTCTGAAGAAATGTTTGGACAAAGCCTGAGAACAATTTAGGAGGCTAGTTAAGCATCTGGATGGGAATCTTGTATTGCATTACCAGGAGGTAACCTTGTTGCACCCCTTGAGTATAATGATCCATACGGTTGAATAAGCCAGCAGTGTTGGGCTGAGAGTTAGGCTATTCTGAACTCTGACGAGTTGGTGCTTATCGAAGTGAATATGGTACCAATTTATTTGGAAAGCTTTATTCCACTGAAATAGAATAAGGTTAAGTACTGGTCAGCTAGCACAAAATGTTTTTGCAGAGGTAGATGCTGTGGCACAGAGTCCTTAAGGCTTAGCATTTATTAGAAGCAAGATAAGCCATTCTGAATTGGCATGAGGGTGTTCGAAATGAGTCCCACTCTCCGTCTCACTTTTGAAGTCTTACAGTCAGTGTTGACTGAGAGTACAGCTCTGGAATGCAGTGTCAGCCTTTGCATGTGATACACAAATCTGTGTATCACATGTGTGCTACCTTTGGCTAATAAATGTTGTTTTGTTTTGGAAGAAACAAGCCATGGGCAGAAACCTAGAACATCCAAAGGTGTATGTGGATTCTTAGCACAGAGTTTTTACAGCAAATTAGATATACATTTTACTCCCATTGCCAAACATTTCTCTTGTTTATTCACATTTTCGTTGCAAAAAAGATAAAAATGTCAAATAACTAGTCTCTCCCTGGTGCTAGTTATTTCTCTATGCCAGACATTTCCCCCACACATCCCCATGTTTACAATCCGTAACACAATCTTTCTTCCATTCCTTGTTCACATCTTATACTAGCTTGTCAGAAAATAATGTTATGGTCCTAGGTGAGGATTTGTCTTTAATTTGTGATTTCTGCTGGATTCTTTGATATTGGCCCAGTCACAGTAGTCAAGATTAGGACCTCAGTGAAGATCTTGGCTTTGGGGTTTCTGCTAACACTGGAAGTTGAACTTTAAAATCAGCACAGAATAATTAATAGATTTAGGATTGGCTCCAAACCTTGTTTTCCATCAGCATAAAGCAGTTCTGCCAGCAGAAGAGTGAGTGTTTTTTTATTGATTTTGCCCTCCATGCTATCCCCAGGGAGCTTAGCGTTCTGCCATGGGTGGCAGGAAAGTTCTGTCGCATTAGTGGAGCTCTGTGGGTGGTACATTAGATCCATCATCTGATCTTTTCCTGACGGTTGATCAGTTGCACATCTGATCTGCAACAGCCTTCTACATGAACCGTAGCCAACATGGTCCACAAACTTCGTGTTTTGATGCCTGCTTGAGGTGGGGGAAACTGGGAGTTGTTAGATGCCTGGGAGATCACAGCACATAACTAGTGGTGCATTCCAAAAGGAAAGCAGTTGATGTCAAATTGGCACAGAATAAATGGAAATGGTCATTGTTAATGAACTGAAATAGTTGCATTTACTTAGGATAATTTGAAGGTAACATGGGCACAAGTACGATTAAAAGCCTGGTTTTTGCTACAGAACTGCATTTGGCAGTGCTGGACAAGACAAACACTGAATAAGAGTTTGAATTAAGCCACACTTAATGTTTGCGATAGTATTATGATATTGGTATCAGAAATTTTTGTTGGACACCAGAGCTGCCTTTCACATCTGATTGCAGCACGTTGGAGAACTTGCTATGAAGCTGCCAATGCTGGATCACTTCATATTTATGAAAATAATCTCTACTATATCTTCCGTGCTCGCAGAGCCTGGGCCTGGTGTCAATAGCAAGAAGCCTTGATTGGACTTCTGCCCTTGATTGATAAGGAAATGGGATGGCGTCTAGAATCATTAACACTCTACATATTACACATTAAATGAGGCTAAGCAAGGCATGGGCAATATAGCAAAGAATTGTGTAGCTGAAACATTTCCAAATATGCTGTTGTAAAATTGAGATCAAGTTTAATGGTATGCCATATGTGTCTTGAAAGAGTAGCATTACATAACTCTGTCTTGACTACTTGCTCTACACCACCACCGATTTGACTCTGTAATGATGTGGATACTTCGACACTTCATCCGTAATGGACTGCTAATTATCGCAGTGAAAGTGGATTTGAAGGATGTACCTTTAGCAGAGTACCGGATATCTTTTCCGTTGTAGCTGTGAGAATCCTAACTTCAAGGGATCTCCTAGGTTAAAGTAACCTCCCATGTTTTATGTTTCCCCACTTAACCAAGTCAAATTCAGGATAGTGAAGTTCCACTCCTCAAAAGTCTTATTGATGACATTCTGGCTCCAGCAATAGACTTCTGGGGAGCCACAGAAAGAGGGTGAATACTCAATAATACCTTGCAAGTCTAGCCTCCTGTGTTTCTACTGCTTACATTGGTTGACTGAGTTATGAAAATCAGTCTACGATGAGCTGTGTCAGTGTGCAACATTATGTTAAATCATAACTAAGAATAATCAAAATAAAGGGAATGGTCTCTTGCTTAACAGAGACTTCTTTAAAAACCTGGTTTATAACATGTATGAGGATGGCAGTCAAACCAAGGGAGCAAGGATACTTTGAATTTTCTTAAGGTGATAATGTGAAACAGCAGAAAACTACTCTTGTTAAATTCTCCAGATAAGTTTCCACAGCTCGTCGTAGAGGTATACCCAGTGACAGCAGACATTTTGTAGTCGACTGTAGGAATGGGAAAACTTGAACTTGTTTGTTCGTACTGCTGTTTTATGCTGTTTGTTGAACCACAGGAGTTGGGGGGGGGGAGCTCAGCAGTGACATTCAGAAGCAGAATATCTGTTTCAAAAGATCAGCTTTTCTGTGTTTTGACTGTGTCTCTGAGCAGCTGTGACTTTGTGGGTACAGTGTTCCCTGGTCATAGCTGTGTATCTGACTGTGTACTAAAGTGTGATTTCGATGTCTTTTCCAAATCATTTGTACACATGAAACCATTCCATGGATGACTGCCTTATTTTTTGATTTTTTTTCACTTTAATTGTGAATGGTTTAAAAATGTTGTTTTTATTATATTAAACTTTTTATTAGCTTCAGTGTTGGAAGAACTTGGTCTAATTCCTTGTGAATAGTTTTGAAGAGATTCCGTGTTGCTGCTGCTTGAAACACATATGCAAGCCTCTTCTGCAGTAGGTAGGGTTGCCAAGTCTGGCTTGGGTAATTTGTGGAGAATTTGGGGGTGGAGCCTGGGGAGGGACCTCAGTGTGTTATAATGCCAGAGTCCAGCCATAGAGTCCAGCTACTAAAGAAGCCATTTCTCCAGTGGGAACTGATCTCTATAAGCTGGAGAGAAGTTGTAATTCTGGGAGATCTTCAGCTATGACCTGGAGAGCAGTAGCCTTTGAATTTATACACAGCTTTCCACTTTTTAAAGCATAACTCTTATAAAATTTTGTTTGGAGTTTTATGAAAAGCACAGCATATTTAGCACACTCCCACGTGTAGCCTTCTTGCAGGGTGTACAGATCCTACAGTCTATGTGCTGCTTGCACAGTGGTCTGGGTTGGATGGACTCCAGTATACTGTGAGAAGATGAAGCAGCTAGGCAAGGTGGTTGCATCTCTATGCCAACTAATTTCTGAACCATCACTTTAGTCATGGTTACATGGTGATGTATGAACTAGAACTAAAAGATGGTACTACAAGGTTCAGTTCACACTGCTGCCTTAACCTACTCTTAGCTGTGAACTGCTATTCCAAGAAAACTTTACCAAGAAAAATTGGGAAGGGGGGATTCCGTTTACTCTTTGACTGAAAAGCATGTTAGTTGGATTTACAGTATTTTAAAATGTATATCTAAAACTTGTAGCTAATGCAGGATTCAAGAGGTGGCATAAGAATGAAACTGATCTATTGCCGTGTTGCACTGCCTTCTGATTTCACACTTAAAGTTCAGTTTTAATTATGTATGGTACTTGACTATGCTTGGACACGTCAAAGTAAATGTACTGTTAACATACTTGGTAAAAGTATTTGGTAGGAAACATCAGTTCTTTACTAATGCATTGCAGCTGAAGGAGGTTGGAAAAATGACTTTTGTTTTAAGCAGGAGGTAACATCTCAGAGCTGTAATAGATTCAGGTGGGGTAGCCATGTTGGTATGAAGCAACAGAACAAAGTTTGAGTCCAGTGGCACCTTTAAGACTTCTTGGGAAAGTTTTATTCTGTGTATAAGCTTTCATGTACGCATGCTTCTTCAGATACATCTATATCTGAAGAAGTGTGTGCGTGCACAAAAGCTTACACCCAGAATAAAACGTTCTTGGTCTTAAAGGTGCCACTGGACTCAAACTTTGTTCCGAGCTGTAATAGTTCAGGTTGTGAAGGCGTTACACATGTGCAGTCAGAGGTGGAAAGTTTTTACTGCAGCGAATGGCACATTGAAATGGGTAAGTCTGTTTTCCTTCTGAAATGTGGTTTGCCTGCAAGGCTGTCAGGTGGTGGTGGGAGAAGTGAGCAAAGGGTAGAAATCGGAGGGGCCTAGTGAGCCAGACAAGGGACTCGTGCAAGACAGCAGGATCCCTGCACCAATCCAAGCATCTTGTCTATGTTGGGGGTGGGGGAGATGAACTGCTTGCTTTGGGGTCCATGGTGGGTCTTGGCAGTCCCACGTGCTTATTGAACTTGGACGTACAGAAACAGCTCTGGCTACATGCATGAACTTCTTTGAAATGGCTGCCTGGAATTGTATCCAGAGCTAAGTTGTTTTGTTTGCCTATGGCCAGGTTTACAAGTTGTGTAATCACTTGGCACAAATTCAGAATTCTTTCCTTTAGGAAGAGATTTGGGATTGCCATAATTATCCTGTGAATGTGTGAATATCAGAATATGGCCTCAAAGATACATTTTGTTTTAGCTAGTAGCTGAGAACTAGACATACAGCTGCCCTTTGGGTGAGTGATAAAGGTTCCAGTCCCTTTCTGCTTGTTATTTCCACTAAATACTTAGAAAACAAGGTATAGTTTCCTGTGGACCAACAGGGAAGACAGCTGATTGGGATTTGGGTACCATCATAAACTCCTTCAGCTTAATTTGTTATACTTCAGCCCTCAAAACCAGCTTGAGAAACAACTCTGTCTTGATGTTCCATTGTCTTACTCTTAATTATCAAGAATGGCTGCTGTATTCACAGTATTGATTAAGACCTGTTCCGGGCGCCTGGAAGTGAAGCGCCGAAGAGCTGCCAGGGACTGAACAACAAGCCGAGCCAGGAACTGAATAACAACTGAGCCCGCGGTCGGGGTGCTGGTAGGTTATCACCCCCCATACAAATAATGTGGCCCTAGTTAGGGATAAACAGATGTGTAAACTGCTCAGAGACCCTTCGGGGGCAGAGCGGTATATAAGTCGAAAATTAAATAAAAATAAATAAATAAAAAATATTTGACTGACTTATTGCACATCATAGGCTAAAGTTCTCCAGTGAACTGGACTTGGTTCTTTTTCTTTTAGTTCAGGGGGAAATCAAATCTAACCTTCCTGTTTGACAGTTATTTCAAGAACCTCTTGTTCGCCTTGCAAGGAATTGCCTCTGCATCCACAAGAGGGAGTGCTCTGAACAGAGAAACGCAGTAGGTGGGAGTTTTCTGCTCATGTCTTCTTTGAAGAGCCAAATATGGCGCATAGGGGAGCCTGGGTGAAGCTGAAGCTCTGGTTCATGAGAGTTCTCTGTTATAGGCAAAACCTAAGCTGCTTTTTTCCCTGCATAAGCATGTTACTGTTAATTTTGAGTGGAGACTGCTGTCAAAAGGACATAAGGAGAAATGTCTGTATTCTAGAGCCTCAGTTACTGTATCCATACCACACTTTCTCCTACAGAGAGCAATACTGACTGACAGGCATGTGCAAGCTATTCTCTTGTCTCAGGGCCCTATGAGTCAGAGTTCTGTTCATTATGGTTAACAGGCTGACAGACTGGTCTATGGTTGGAAATGTGTTGTTCTCCAAGTTGTAAAGTGTAACATTTGTAACTCTGGGATACTTAGAGTGACACTTTTCTAATCTGAAGGCTCAGGGCAGATAATGCATAAAATAAAACAAAATTTCAACCAAAACACCCTGGGCATTTCCTACATAGCTCTGAGCCTTCAAGTTTAGCCCTAACAGGGTAGGTCTTAATGATGCTTTTTAAAAATGATGCTCTGACTTGGACCTAAGCAAGCGTGTAATGAGAGAGTTCCTCCAAAATGTGGAAAGGAGGGCACTGACAGTGCTGTTCTTTGTGACAGTATGAAGAATGCTCTCTCAGCCCATCTCAGAGACTGAACGGGGCAGGTGGAAAGAGGTGGTCTCCAAGGTCATGTTTAAACCATCTCTGTATCCTTGGATCATTATGGACCACAGATGTTTGTGGCCACACTGTATGATGAGCTTGACCCAATGGGAGTTGATCTCTCTTCATCTAATGTGAGTGCTAGCCTTGTCATAGACAAGGAGATATGCCACCCTTATTAGAAACAGTCATAACATTGTAAGGCTGCACTTGGAAGCTGTGAGTCATACTTTCCCATTACAAACTAAGGAAGAAAATGAGCAGTCTCATGAAACTGATAGCAAGTTCGGCAGGCTAGCCTTCTGTAGGGCTTCTGCTGTTATGACTCCTCATTAAATAGCTGTATCTGTGTTGTGCAGTGGTTGGCTACCTCCTCCATTTCTGGTCACTCTCTTGAAACTTTACAATTGTGGTCTGAGCAAACATCATCCATGATGTCATTACCAAGCAGAACTAGCAGAGAGGTACACAACTCATGCATATCTGGGAGTGGAGCTTTGGGGAATTAATTTGGATGAGTAAGCATGAGGCTGCAGTTCATGGGCGAGGGTGTAGAAGGAATTAGAAGAATGCTAGAGTTGATATGAGCTTTCAGTCCATTGCACGTGCCTTAAGACCCAAATTCATGGACATTTTACCACCTTTGTGCAGCTGCTTACAAGAGCCAGTTTGGTGTAGTGGTTAGGAGTGTGGACTCTAGTATGGGAGAACAGGGTTTGATTCCTCACTCCTCCACATGCATCTGCTGGTATAACCTTGGGTCAGTCATAAGTTCTTTCAGAGCTGTTCTCTCAAGGACAGTTTTCAGGAGAGCTCTCTCAGCCCCCGCCTACCTCAAAAGGTGTCTGTTGTGGGGAGGGGAAGGAAAGGGGATTGTAAGCTGCTCTGAGACTCCTTTGGGCAGTGAAGGGTGGGGTATAAATCCAATTCTCTTATGCTAGATGCTGACTATAACCCTTCCTTCCACACTCGTGATAAATGGCCACATTGAATGAGTTACTGAGCCGATCATATTTTGGTCCAGCAGGATGCCCAACTCTGACACGTTTTTCTTTTTCCCTCTTGGATTGGAAGAGAGGAAACACATGGGTATTTGCAGACAAGATGATTATTATTAATTTGACTGCTTGCTTTCTGCAGTTTGCCCTCGAGGAACTAGTTATGGGCTTTTAGCCTGCTTGTTAGAAGGTACAGAGAGCTGGAGAGAGGGACAGAACAGGTAGTATTCCCAGTGCTTCATACTTAGCTCCTTGGAGGAAATAAAAATCTAATGGTGGTATAAACCGTACACTCCCCATCTTATCACAGAAGCAACCTGTGAGGTAGGTCAGGCTGCAAGTAAGTGGCCCAAAGCTACACAGTGGATTCATGACAGACTTGGGGTTTTTAGCCTGGTTAGAGCCAATGAAAAATTACTGTCAGTGGAACGTGAGGCCATGATACCCTTTTGGGAGCCTTCAACCTATTTTACCATTTGATGTATGCCCCCCCCCCCCCACAGCTGCAAAGAGTTGCCTATGCATCGATTCCAGGAGTGATGGGAAATTTGGGGCATATTTATACAGTGCTATTCTCCCCAAAGGAAACTCAAAGCCACCTTACCACGTTGGGAGGCAGTGCAGTGTTACCAGTTATGGTCTCCGAAGATTAGGACCTGGAAGTCCTGGACTGGAATCCTCACTCTGCCATGGAAGCTCACTGGGTGACCTTGGGCCATTCCCACACTCTCAGCCCTACCTACTTTACAGGGTTGGTGTGAGGATGAAATGGAGGAGAGGAGAATCATGTAAGCTGCTTTGAGTCCCCATCTGAGGAGAAAGGGAACAAATGAAGTAAATACATTATCTTCACCATTTAGACTGAGACTGACTGGCCCCCAAGGTCACCCGGTGAGCTTCTATGGCAGAGTGAGGATTCAGACCTTGGGCTCCCAGATTCTAGTCTAACTTAATCATTACACCATAAGGGCTTTCTTGAGCGAAGAGAGCACTGGAAACTTAGTAGTATCTTTGTAAAAAATCAGAACAAAGTTTAAGTCCATCTTTAAGACCAACAAAGTTTTATTCAATGTATGAGCCTTTGTGTGCACGCACACTTCCTCAGGTACAATGAAGTGGAATTTACCAGTCCGTACATATAAGCAGAGGTTGAGCAGTAAATTCGCATGCAACATAATAAAGGTGTTTATCAGATTCAGGAATAACAAGCTTGGTTTAGATGGTTACCATTTAACATACAATGTTTTAACAGATGCAAAGACCAAACAGAGATAACATGTTAAGTCCACATGGTCACCATTTGTTTGGATTCAATTCCATTGGAAAACACAGGCTGTGATCAGACGTGTTGTTTGAGCTGGTGTCGTTGCTGTTGCCTTCCGGATTTAAAATGCACATCCAGACAGCAACATCTGTTCTCCGTTCCCCATTTGTGGGCACCCCATTCTCACCTGTCTTCGAGCTTCGAGCTGGAGTTATTTGGCACCAGGGAAAGTCCAGTTCTTCCTGGTGTGTGCGATTTCACCCCACATTTCTGGATGTCTGATCAATCATCACACTCTCAAGTCGTTCCCTTCCGGTTTTGGGCTTCTTTTTTTCAGGCAGTTAGTGAAGTGTGCATAACTTCATATTCGCCTGTTTCTCTCCCCCCCCCTCAAAATGTGTTTTTTCCCCCAAAAACTTCCAAAGAAAGACACCTGTGTGCTTTTTTCTGTGCTTTATGGCCATGGGGTAGGGAAGGGGTTAAAGGAAAAGATGACTTTTTTCGGAGAGGGAAGGAGGCAGTCTGAGAGTGATGCCCATGACTCCAGCTTCACTGCAAGCATTTAAATGCTTCTCTATTCTCTCCTCCCCTCACTTTGAAACATTTGACACATTGAGTTCATCAAAGGCATGGTTTCAAAAACGCTTCCTTCACAATGAACTACATATCCCAGCTGCCGCCTCCAGCAATCTCGTTGGCCACCAGGTGGCAACATTCTGCAAGGAGTTAGAAGCCCTGCTTCCCATAAGTGCTTGTGTGCATGCCCAAAAGACAAATAGTTTTAAAAAACTTGCCTGACCGCCCCATTCTGTGGCTGCCATGTCTGATCAATCAACCACGGGGTGAAAGCACATTGAAGCAGGTAAAGGGGGGAGGTTTGATCAGAGCTCTCCATTACAAAAAAAACCCATGGATCAGTTACAAGTGGGGCCACACTGGATCCAAACTGCATTTCTGACTGCAGCCACAGAGAGGCAAATAAATATGTCAGACTTGGAGAGTGATGTGTAAATGTATCATTCTTAATTGTGAAATGCGAAAAACTAATAAACTGTCCCTGTGTTATGCTCCATTTGTCTCAAGCATGGAGGTAGCTAACAGCACCCTTTTCTTTAAGGTGGGGTGACTGGTTGTGTAGTTGTAACATCTCTTCTGTCACCTGATAAGAGAAATGCATTTTGGTCTACCATTCTAATATTAATTGTGCTATATTATAATCAATATTCCATTTTACTGTACTATATATGATTTGTAATGTATATGATTTGTCTATAGGTTGAGTAAGCTTTACATGGGTCCAGAAGTAAACTTGCAGGCAGTTGGTAACCAGTTCCAAAGCAATCTTGGCATAAAAGGTAAAGGTAAAGGTTCCCTTGCTCGAAAGCCAGTTGAGTCCGACTCTAGGGTTGCGGTGCTCATCTCCGTTTCAAAGCCGAAGAGCCAGCACTGTCCGAAGATGTTTCCATGGTCATGTGGCCGGCATGACTAAGCACCAAGGCGCACGGAACACTGTTACCTTCCCACCGAAGTGGTACCTATTTATCTACTTGCAATTTCTTGCTTTCGAACTGCTAGGTTGGCAGGAGCTGGAACTAGAGACGGGAGCTCACTCCATCATGCAGCAACTCGGGTCTTGAACTGCTGAACTACTGACCTTCCACAGCCTGCAGTTCAGCGTCTTAACCACTTGAGCCTATATATATATGTATATATATGTAGTGTAAAACAGCATGGAAAAGGTATGCTACAATGAGAGATCACATAATGTGTGCCATCTTGTGACTTTATTGAAGCAGCTGATTTGGAAACCTGTCTTAACCTCAGCAGGCTTCAAAAAGAAGTTTAGCAGAAGAGCTGCTGAAGGAGGAATGGGGGCGGGCCTCATTTCAGGAGCTTTCAGAGTTCTGCCTATTTCTCTCAACATGTGGTGGATTGGCCCAGCAGGAGTGAAGTTCACACACTGCAGGCAGACAGCTAACACTCACAGGTCCTTCCAGGTCATAGCTGATGGGTTTATTTTAATAATTCTAATTTCTGTAGTGCTTGTATGTTTACAAAGTGCTCTCTGTTTACACTCATAGAAGCCCTGAAAGACAACTTGGGCATGTCCCTGCCTCTTAGCAGGAAGCCATGCAGTTCATGTTAGAGCAGGGCTGAGCCTTTCTGGCACCATAGTCAAGGGTGCAGCAGTCATGTGAAGCCCATCCAAGGATTTCTGGCTTGCCACAGGAAGCAAAACTGGATTCACACTCACTTTCTGCACGCACTCCGGTGCTTTGTATTTTTCCCCTCCCTTCCTCTCTGCCTTCTCTCTGAGCTGTGACAGTACAAATGGTACCTTTTAAACACTTGCCATGCCAGCTTCTGTTACTTAATGTATTCATACCCTGATGAACTCACAACATTATTCTCTCCTCCTCCATTTTATCCTCACAACCCCGTCAGGGTGGTTAGACAGAGTATGGCTGCTCCAAAGTCATCCAGTGAGCTTCCATGGCAGAGTGGGAATTCGAACCTGGGTGTTTCAGATCTAGTTGGACACTAACCATTACACCACACTGCTTGGTAACATGGGAAGTGGCTAGACACTTCCTGGTTTACTGCATAGACTTAAGAAATGCCCTGTAGCTGGCCCTGACTCCTTATGTATGCCTTTTGTGTATACGTGGCTTTTTTTTTTTTAAGACATCTGTCTTCCTTGCATAGTACAGGACGGAGGCGGGTATGTGCTAATTTTTAACATGTACCTGCTTCTAGAGTCGAGGGTCAGTGCCTCAACCTCTCGCTCTTTGGTTTATTATGATCTAAGTGCTCATCCCGTTTTATGACCGAAGAGGCTGTCTTCAGAGCTGAGCTGGAACTTTGCTCTTGCTTCAGTGCATCAGGAAGTGCTACGGAATGAGGGAGCTCTCAGCATCTCTGCATCAGGCAGACAAATATTGACTGAGCCCAGAGCAATCTAATTATCGATTCAAAGCATAGCCTCAGTCTCGCTCCCTCCCCGTGGCTGGTTACATCCTTCTGGCTCATTGCATTTAATCGGATTCCCTGAGCTGCAGAGCAGCGGTAGAGAATTAGATTTTTTAAAAATCCATCCGTCTGGACAATGTTCACTTCTAAATCCAACTCTGTCTCTCCTTCTCCATCTATGGAACAAGCAGATTCAGATGTCTTGGATATCAGCACCAAAGTGCAGCTGTATGGAGTGCTCTGGAAAAGACCTTTCGGGAGACCGTCTGCTAAATGGTCCAGGAGGTAAGCTGCAGAACTGAGTTGTGCAGGGATGCAGTAACAACAAACAAAAAAAAAAGGGTGGGGGGGGGGGGGGCGGGAGAAGGCTTGTGCTGGGAGGATCAAAGCTAGGTAGGTAAAGAAAGCCTCTAAAGAAGTTTCAAACCAGGCAAGGGTTGTAATACTTATTCATGCAGAGGGGTTCAAGGCAAATGAGAAAGGATGTGAAGGCAGGGCTTAGCTCAAAGTGTTTCTGGGCTGAGGTAAGGTATCAGGGGCAGTCTTCTAGGGTTTTTAAGGCTACCAATGTGGGTAATTAGTGTGTATCATGCCAGTCTCTAGGCTTAGATTAGATAGTCTGGTGGAACACTTTCCTGTTAGCAGATTGCTGTAAAGCCAGGTCATCTTTGCTGGCTGTCCTCTCAAGGGGAAAACAGTTGATACCCAGCCAGCTTTAAGTAGGAGGGGTGTGGCCTTTAAACTTCCATGGATCACTTTTCTTGGCATTTGTACTATGTCTCTTTAACAGTATGGGGCACAGTGTCAGCCAGACTCCCCTCCTTTGGGAAGCAAAAGCAGTTTAGCAAAAATTGCTTTCCTACTAGGAAAGGACTAGATGACCCCGGAGGTCCCTTCCAACTCTATGATTCTATACTCTCTGTGGAGTGCAAGTGTGGGAACTTAAATTTAAAAAGCTTTTGCAGTTTAGTTGTATGTCTGAAGGAATTTAATAGTGCTGGAAGAGTTATGTTCCTTGTTTGTGATGTTGTGGGTGCTGTCCAGCACAGTCTTTCTTGCTATTGCAAGTGCCATGTTAATAGGAGAAGAATTTGGAATACTGTGTACAGTTCTGATTGACATATTTCAAAAAGAGTGCAGAACAAAAAAGGACAAAAGAGATAAAATGCTTGGAGCCCCTTTCCTTTGAGGAAAGGCCAAAGAGTCAGAGACTTCTCAGTTTAGAAAAAAAAATGAGTGAGGTTCAAACTACATGGGAAGTTTTTACATCGGACACTTTCCTTGCAGCTGCAGGGGATGCTGCTTTAGAGGTTTGCAGGAGCCCACTTCAACCTGGGGCCATGGCACAGGGAAGGAGGGATTTCTTGCCTTCCCCCATGCCATTTTCTGAAGCTGAAATGGCCCTACGGGGGTGTCAGTTGCCCCATTTTTGGAGCTGAATGTGCACAGAACCCAAACCCAACTTGTTAAAAATGTATCATATGATTTGGCCCAGGGGAGGGGGGGATGATAAAAGGTTTATATACATAGGATGGAGGTAATGGATAGAGGAAAGTTTTTTCTCCCTCTCCCATGATGCTAGAACTTAGGAGCACCCAATGAAGTTGATTGGCAATAGATGCAGGATAGGTAAAAGGAAGTGCTACTTGACTCAATATGAAAATTGTGGAATTCACTGCCTGTGGACATAGTACATAGTGATGGTTACAAGCACAGATGGCTTTAAGAGACAATTAAGGCAGATTCATGGAGGTTGGTCCATCAGTGGCTTCTAGCCATGGTAACTAAAGGGAACCTCCATATACAGGGAGAGCAAACCTCTGAATACCAGTGCCAGGAGTTATAATCAGGGGAAAGCTGTGGCCTCTATATTCTGTTGGTGCTCCATGCCAATCGGTTGGCCACTGTATGAAACAGGATGCCGAAAATAGATGGATCACCGGTCTGATCCAGTAGGAATCTCCCAGTGGCAAAATATTATATTCTTGATTACTGGGGAAAATGTGATGTCCCTCTAATACAGCAAGATTTCCTTTTAGGAAAGATATCTGAATATCACAATTTACCAAAGATATCTGAGGATTTTAAATACTGCAGTAGTTACACACAAAGATTCTTTAGTGTAAAAGCCAGAAACTACTTCTGAACCCTTGTGAATGCAGAACAACTGTTTGTGATTACAAATATGGTTACCTAGCAACCAAAACACCAGGTTCATTTCAAACATCCTAGCTATAAACCTTCTCACAGCTAATGGTGCTAGTAGCCAGAGTCATCCTAGGCTATTGTCTTTGCTCAGCTGGGAACTCACTACACAAAAGGCAGGGCTCTTCCTTGAGCTACTTACTACAACCTATACAGGAGATAAATCTAAAGGAAGAGGCAAGGGGTAACAAGGGATATTATGCAGGCAACTATAATGAGAAGCTTTGTTTTTAGTGTGCGTGGGGAGTGAAGCTTCATGGCAGTTGTGACTTTTGAGCTAAGGTATGAAGGAAGAAAGAGGTTGAATTCCAAGTGGGCTTTCCAGGCATAAGGAGCAGTGAGAGATTGTGCAGAGCCATTGAGAAGAGACCAAGATCTTTGGCCAGCTGAGAATGGTAGAGATGCTTCCAGGTGAAAGTCACCCAGTGGCGCTGCTGTTGGTTCCTGAGAGGCTGGCTGAATCAGAAAGACTGGCAAAGCAAGAGAGAACTATCCCTTCTTGGAGGGACTTTCTCCGTTGCTTCTGGTTGGGTGCTACTGCAAGAAGAAGGTCGATGTGCTCATCATGCTCTCGTGTCCCGATGCACTGGGTTAGAATGGCCATAGCAGACTATTAATATAGACCTGAGCAAGAGACTTAAAGTAGCAACAGAGCCCGAGAGGATCTCTATGAATATTACTGGCAGTTTTTTTACTTTCATTGTTTAAGCGTCCAGCCCTTCTGTTTGTGGAGCTGTAAGGAAAAAATACAGGCAGCATTTTACTGGATTGCTTATTAAATAAACCTACTCTGCTTGTGGTGTTCCAGCCAGTCAGTGCAAAGATGGTTGACAAGAGCTGGACATATTTTACTGGAATGAGTACTTCTTACTAAATTGTTGGTGTATGTGCTTTGGCTCCTGTCCCTTGTTTCTGGAGCACTGTCCTGTGGCTGAGGTAGTCCTCCCCTGTGATGTGGATCCCATCAGTGCTCGTTGTCTCCATGATCTTTCAAGGAGCAGGAAGCACCTTAGACCTGAGGAACATGCTCTGCAGAACAGTGCAACCTCCACAAAAATGGAGAGTGGCACAGTGGAAGCGTAGGATCCAACTCTGTACTTTTAGTTTTTTTGTTTTGCATTGAGAAATTATTCTTCCCACCCCCACCCCTGAATATGCTTAGGCTACCCACTCCAACATTTCTATTAACCCATCTGAGAATTTTCCCCTGCTTAATAAATAGGTTTAATTCAACTTACCCACATTTTTTCAAGACCTTTTAAAGATTAAACAAATACTCTCTCTTTCCAAGGAGTTAAATTATTAACATTCTCTATGTAGCACCAGAGCCAATGCCACTGATGACAAATGCTTGGCAGCTAGCTCAAGGGGATGAACAGGAAGCAACTGCTAAACTTCCGATTTCTTCCACTGGAAGGTAGAAAAAAAAATCTTCAGATTTTTGCAAGTGTGTTGGTCTTTAGTTTGCAGTCTTTTATTCTGTAGATTAACTCTGCAGAGCATAAAATGTTTGCTGATTTGTAATAAACTTCAGCCAGAGAGCTTCATCTTTGTCAGTAACTTACCTTTAGAAATCCAAAGTCATGGTGTTTGAAAGAGGAGCCAAGATTTGCTGTGTGTTCCCAGGGAGTGAGAATATGAGTGAGCAAGGATTCCTCTGCAGCAGGCTGAAAGTTCCCATTAAAGATCATTTTCTTCTAACCATCTCTTTGCCATGCAGTTCTAGCACCTGAACATCATTATTAATTTAATGTTATTTTACAGCAAGAAGTCATCTCGTTTTTAGGAGGCAGTGAGTAATATCTATATTATTTACATCTATAAAGTACGAATTGGCTGAGGTTGGTTGAAGGATTCAGATGAAATACTTACAATGAATTGGAGGCACCATGAGGAGAGTTGGTAGTTCGTTGCTAAAGTGCAGTACAGATCAGGTGACAGGAGAATGGCGTGGCATCAGAAGGAAGGAATCAACTGCTGCACTGCCCCAGCAGCAAAGTAGGAGTGAGTTACAAGAGCACCATGGCAAACAGGAAGTGACTTTAAAAAGTCAACACAACTTGTCCTTTCTTTGGGTGAGTTCAAGTCTGCATCGGACACTGTACGGGAGTTGTTGTGAACTATGTTGTTCTGATATGGAGTGTCAAGAAAGAGTTAGCTTAGGCTTGCCATGGCCCCAGTGATGGGGTAGTTTGTTCATTCAGACTTCCTCCCATTAAATCTATTGGATGTTATACAAACATAATTAAAACATATATTGACAAATTTTAATACATTGGTAATAAACAAGCAACAAGACAAAAATACTAGAAAGCCATTAAAAAGACTTAAAAGCTAGCAAAAAGCCAGGTTTCATATAACCATAGCAACTGCAAAGAGAGGAGGAGTTTTCAGATCCAGGATGCTGAGGTTGCTCTGGGACTATCTACCTGTATACTTACCCCTATAAAACCTGTACAGTCTTCGTATTTGTGAGTGAAAACACAATTAACCTTCAATGCTGTCTTCTTCAAAAGAAAACATGCCCTGTAAAAGCTGGCCAGAAATTGCACCAATTAGACTTGGGATGGGACAGGAAACATTCCAATAAACCACTGATTTATTGGCTCTGTTTATATCAGTACATCCAATTCTGAACATGGCTCTCAGTTCCTGATCAAAAAGCCACGCAAGGTGTGCATGTACAGAGAAAAGGAATTTTTCTACAAAATGGGACAGCCACCAGGTTTGCAGGAAAAAAATGAAATAAAAAAGCATAAGAGGATGTTCTAGGAGCTCCCAACCTAAACTTATAGAGGGAAAACCTAAAATGGCTCTCAACTGCCATTTTGAAAAAGAAGGAAGCGGTGGGAAAGCCATGAAAGATGGCAATGCTGGGTAGGCCAGGTAAGCTGTTCTGGTGTTAGGAAATGTAGGTGTGGTGGGGAGGCAGAGAAAGGTGAGGTAGGCTGGCAAGGCAGGCAGGAATGGTGGTGGTGCAAACAGATGGCAGGGAAGCTGAGCTAGCAGGAGGAGGAGGGAGAGAGGCAATGGTGGACAGAAGAAAACTTCATGAGGAAGTGGGGATCAGACTGGGTGGG